GCTAAGACTCCCGTAGATTTTCTACTTAGAGCGTCGGCCACAACGTTAGCTTTTTCTGAATGATAATGGATTGTACAATCATAATCTTTATCCATCTTATCTGCCGCAAATTTAAATCCTTCTGAGAGAAGAGGTATTTCAAGCTCTTATGATCCGTATATATTTCGAATTGCTCACCATATAGATAATGCCTCCACATTTTCAAAGCGAATACTATTACAGCCATATCCAAGTCATGACTTGGATATTTTTTCTCATATTCTTTCAACTGTCTGGATGCATATGCCACTACCTTCCCATATTGCATTAATATATAGCCCATGCCTTTATGTGAAGCATCACTATAAATCACAAATCCCCCACTCCCCTCAGGAATAGTTAAAATAGGTGCTGAAGTTAATCAAACTTTTAGTTTTTGAAAACTCTCCTCACATTCACTTGTCCACTCAAATTTGACATTTTTTTGTGTCAATCGAGTCAATGGGGTTGCGATTCGAGAAAATCCTTCTACAAATTTTCTGTAATATCCTGCCAATCCCAAAAAGCTTCGAACTTCAGTCACAATACTTGGTTGTTTCCAATTAACAACGGCTTCAACCTTTGAAGGATCAACTGATAGACCTTCCTTTGATATGACATGTCCTAAAAATGTCACTTGTTCAAGCCAAAATTCACATTTACTAAGTTTGGCATACAATTTCTTTTCTTTTAATATTTACAATATCATTCTTACATGCTGCTCACGTTCCTTCTGATTCTTGGAATAAGTTAAAATATCATAAATGCAGCCGGTGCATTGGTTAATCCAATAGATATGATTAAAAATTCAGAATGGCCATACCTTGTTCTAAAAGCTGTCTTGGAAATATTTTCACTTTTAATCTTAAGCTGATGGTATCCAGATCTAAGCTCAATTTTTTAAAACACTTGTGATCCTTGTAATTGATAAAATAAATCATCAATTCTAGGTAATGGATACTTATTTTTTACTGTCACTTGATTTAACTGTCTATAATCGATACACAATCTCATGGTCCCATCTTTCCTTTTAACAAACAATATCGGAGCACCCCAAGGTGACACACTACGCCTGATAAAACCTTTATCTAATAATTCTTCCAATTCTTGTTTAAGTTCCTTAAGTTCTGCAGGTGCCATTCTGTAAGGTGCTTTAAAAATTAGGACTACTACTGGCAATAATTCAATAGAGAATTCAATTTCCCTGTCAGGTAGTAATGCTAGCAATTTTTCAGGGTAAACGTTAGGAAATTCTTGGATAACCAGAATGGTATCCAAATTTATCTCCTCCTTCCTATCTTCTTTGATATAGGCAAGAAAGTCTTGACACCCTTTTTGAATGAGGCGATTAGCTCGAATACAGGAGATTAATATATGATGGGGAGTCTTTTTTGATACCATTGAAGTAAACTGCTGGTTGATTCAGAATACTAAAGGTAACCATTTTCTTGTAACAATCAATACTTGCATGGTATGCAAAAAGCCAATCCATGCCTAAGATTATATCAAAATCTTGAATTTCTAGGAGTATTAAATCGACCAACAGTTCCTTTTCTTTTATCTTTAATACACAGGATTTGTACACTATATTGGTGTCACTTGAATTTCTCATCGGTGTGGCTACCTTTAGAATGTATTCTAATTATTCTGGTTCTACCTTTAAGTAGCATGCAAAGTGTGGTGACACAAATGAATGAGTAGATCTAGGATCAATCAAAATCTGAGCTACTTTTTAGAAGATAATAAGAGTACCTTGGATCACTGATTTTGAGGCCTGAGCGTCTTGGTGGGTGATCACAAATATTATTCCCTTCATCTGAGGCTTTTGAGCTATCTCTCCCTGCTTTGGAAGCTATTGCATCTATAAGCTAGGACACTCTCTAATCTAGTGCCCAATTTTTCACATTTAAAACAGGCTCCAGTATTCCAATAACAAGGGCTCGATCCATGGTTTTTCCCACATTTTTTACATAGTTCTATTGGGCTTTGAAGTGGCAAGAGCCTTGGTTTCTTATTTACCCTTTTAAGCTGTTGTTGATTAGATGGTGTGGGTCTAACCTGACATTTCTGGTTTTTCATCTTTTGCTAATCTTCGAATTCTTTTTTGACAATTTGGGCTTGATCCACTATTTCAGCATAAGTTCTCAATTTTAAGACTGATATTCTACTTCTAATAGCTGATCTGAGACCCCTTTCAAATTTTTTCACCTTTCTTGCCTCATTGTTAATTATATATGGTGCAAACCTGACCAATTCAGTAAATTTGGCCTCGTACTATGCTACTGTCCAGTGTCCTTGGATTAATTCTAGAAATTCCATTTCTTTTTTGTCTCGAATAAAATCTAGGAAATACTTTTTATTAAAAACCTCTAGAAATACTTCCCAAATCAAGGGTTTATTTTCTTTGACCAGTATTCCTTTTGCCATTCGCTACCAATGTTGTACTTCACCTTCTAACATAAAAACTGCCAAGGCCACATTCCTATCATCAGGACATTTCATTACCTCGAATAGTTTCTCTAATTGCATAATCCATCCCTCGGCTTCCAGTGGGTTTACAACACCTTTAAAAGAATGTGGGTTCAATTTCTTAAATTGTTCGATATTACTCCCACCATTTTCCGTAACTGACTGCCTGGGTGAATTGTTGTTTATGTTGCATTAGAGCAACCATATTTTCCAGACTTTGTAAATTCCTTCCATATTAGCTTCAGCTAATCTGGATTGACTTCGTCCCGATCTGTACACACAATAAATGTGATTTTAAGTACATTCTTTTTAAATTTCCTAAGAATCTTAAACATATTGCTCTGATACCATAATTTGTCACGCCCCAAGAATTTACAATACTGATATTCCTGATATGTGACAGTCAAAACATATATGCATCTCTTGATAGGACAAATTTATAGTGGAGAATTCTTACAAAGTAACAAAAGAAAGTTTAAGCACAATTACAATATCTTCCAGAGTTGATCCTGACGAGCACTCAAAATGAAACCGCAGTTATCCTGAAAAAAGTGTTTACCATAATTTGATGAGTTTGGCTACTCAATAAGTGATCATCATAATCCTAAAAATAATAATGGTTGAAAGATATCAATATTTTCAAAAATGAGATCTATTAACAGAAATGCATCAACAGTTTCACTTTAAAAAATGCATAATTAAGTATAATTCGAATAATTGAAATGCGTATAACATTTTAACGACAGTGCATAATTCAAAAGATTTCACAGAATACCCTACTGGCGTCCCAAGTAGGTCACCTATATACCCCATCAACGTCCTGATGGGTCCACTTAATCCTTATAGACGTCTCATATAGGTGCACTTAATCCCTGCAGGTCTACTTATACCTCACCGGCATACCGGATGAGTCCACTTAATCCCTATCGGTGTATCGGATAGCTCCACTTATACCTCACCGGCGAACCGGAAGAGTCCACTTGCATACTTAAAGTATTTCTAAATCTCTTTAAACATTCGAAAGCAGCAATATCATGTACTCAGCATATCACTGAAATTATTAATATGAATTTCACTGAAACCATTAACAACAATCACTTTCAATAACATCTAAAAAATAACCAGTCAAATATTTTGAGCTCAAATTTAGAAAGGTAGCAGTTCGTAAAGACATTTTAGCATAATTGCCAATCTAATATGTATAGAAAAACTCTTATAGAAATTCAAGAATACGGAATTATCATAATTTATGAGATGTCAACTTGCAAATAAACGTTTCACAGACAATGCTATAATTAAATGCAAAAATATAAATTTTCAAATAATAAGGCAGTCATTTGCACATGAAATTTACAATGTCTAAATATTCAAAAACAATAGAAAGAAATCTCACAATTTTACTAAAAGCAGAAATATCACATTTATTTCTAATTTTACAGTATCTAAAATTTTCTAACAATAGACAAGAAAAATAAATTTATTTTTCTAAGAATTTACACCATTTAAGATTTCTAACATAGATAAAATATCACAATTTAAAAGATTATTTTTCAAAATAATGAGGTCGTTTGCGCATAAAATTTATCTCGCCTAAAATTCATGATAATAAGCATAAG